GCATCTATCCAAAAACAACGATTGGACGTGAAGCCAAGCAGTCGTCGTTATTACTGTATCTTCCACTACAATCTCATGTGCACGTGTACAGCTTTTACCACCAGAGGGAGACACATACCTTTTTATATCACAGCTAAATGCGGACAAAAACGCAGATAAAGGGGCCTGTAAGATATTCACTTCCCTAATGGCATTCCTCCCAGGAAACAGAACTCAATCATTTTTAACAGGCACTCATAAATTTCAATGAGTTTTTAATTAGGAGGAGCTCAGAGTAATTGTCTCCCAGGCAGTTTTAACAGGAGGAAGATCATGCTGACAGATTGACAGAGTCTGTGTGGCAGATTGCTGCAAATCACCTAATTATGAGAAGAAGTCAAACTTTCAGCTTTTGATCATGATTATTTTTGGCTTTATTGGATAATTTCACCATCAACAGAGAAAGGAAGGGCTGCCCAGTGTCTGCATCAGAGAATCATGTGTGACGAAAGTCTCAGACTCATCTTCAGGGCACTGTAAATTTGTTTTTCTTGCCTTTTGTTCAGTTGTTTGTTAAAAAAATGCACAGTTAGAAACTTATATATGTTTAAAACTCAAAGGTTTGTTAAGTATTATACTATTTTTTTGTTAGTGTTTCTTGCATATGATCTAAAACCTTCCCCCGGGCCATGATTAAAATCATAGAAACCCTTGCTGAATTTTTCCATAAATAAGCTGAATTTCCTGCTGAGAAGTCTTTGAAATGACATCTGCGAAAAATCCAAAATCTATGAATATGCAAATATTATCATATGAAAATTATGAATTCTTAAATATTTCACTGAAATAGCCCCATTCCCAGCACTTTGTAGTTTGGATTTTAGTTCCCCAAGTTGTCCACTTAAGCAGAATTGGTCCAAATTTAGTTGAGAAAAATGGTGCTTACAGGTAAATGCTCCGGTTTTGGGCGAGCTGGATTTGAAAACAAGGTGAACCAATGTTTTCTTTTGCAGAGTTACTCAACCACGAGAAGTAACGTCACACATTTTTGAGTGGATTTGAACATTAATTAGAATTCATTATGGAGATGTTCTGCAGGCTCAAGCCCAATTTCTGTTTTACTTATAATTGGAAGAGCAGTCTTAGTTCTCTAAGATTTAAAAAAAAATATCCCACAGGTTTCCAGCATCACCTGTGTTCATTATGTCTGTATGGTAGGCCACAGACATTATTATGCTTGCGGCCTACCCTGTACATCCTAGTGCTCAAATATATAGTGACCAGATTCTCTTTGGACTTAAGCATCAGAGCTGTTTTAAGATATTGTGTGTGTTCTGATTTCTTTGTGTTTGATTAGAATTATTTATTTTGCTTCGATGACTATACTCCCCTTTTCAAGCCTGGTCACAAACATTTGGCTTTAGGAGTTGTCATTTGTTTGGATAATATCTGTGAACTTCTATATTTAGGATATTTTGTTGTTCACATCTATAAGAGTGAAAGAAAAACAACCGGCTATATTTCCAGGATTGAAATAAGATGCTTTTAGAGTCACTGCAGCTAGAGAAAGCACAACAAAATTAGCTGTGTA